ATTTACTGATTTGGCTTTCTAAAGTTTCGGTCCAAAGTCTGACCTCTACAGGGTCATTCCCACTTTCAATACGCAACTCCTGAACTTCCAATTTGAGCTGATGTGTTTTGTCAATAACGTGCTCCAATGCGCTTCCATGCCTCTCAATTGTCTTCAGGTCTCCGGTCTCGATTACTTTCGCTGTATCTCCCGCTGTAAATTCAAGCATTTTCAGTTTACCTTGAATCTTCTCCTGCATTGTTTTGATTTCGCCTTCGGCGCTCATGTTGTTGACTTCGGTGTTTCTTCGCTGTGTTTACATGTAAAATTCCTCTCGTCGCTCACTTCTCGCCGCTCGCTGTTACTTTCTCGAATCACAGGTGTCCTGGCAGGGTCGCCACCTTTTGTTGCGATGATTTCAACAAAATTTATTCGTCTCTCGTTTGATAAACTCGCTCGCACTCACAAGATCGCTCGCTCTTTTTCTCCTCGTGTTCTAGTGCCAAAACCGGTCCTGACCGGTTCGGCTTACGTCACACACGCACCACAGGAACCCCATTTCGGGTCCGACAGTAATGGTAATGCACTGTCTGTATCTGGTCCAAACAAGGTGGCAAAGAACATAACGCGGATAACATGATTTTGTTTTGTTTTGATTTTTTTTAATTTGAGTAGTAAATGCACTGCCCCAGGAGGTTATCGCATAAGATGTATAAGGACAGGTCAGGTTATAGTATAGTTGTTTAAGTTGTAAAAGGGAGGTGCAGTGTCTGAGTTTGCCAACAATTCCTGTGTTTCTAGAAATTCGAGTACATAAATAAGACACCTGTTTCCATGATAGCGTGTCATCTATAAGTACGCCCAAATATGTTATGTAAGTGCTCTTTTCTAAGCCGTAGGTGGAGCCATCATTGTTAGTTAATTTTACATCCCATGTTATATTTGTCTTCTTTTTAGGTGATTTAATTATCATATAATTAGTTTTCTTTAAGTTGATGGATAGCTTGTTTAAGTCACACCATTCTTTAACACACCATTCTTTAATACCTGTCACCTGCGTAATCTGGACGTTTGGTTGAACAAAAACATGGCAAATAATCTGAGAGATCTGCCAAGCAGATTCCAGACTTTAAAACTTTTTTGTGGTGAATTTGAGTAGATGTGGTCAATGAGAGTAGCACTGTGATCGTTTAGCCGGGTTGCTTTTGTAATAAGAGGCATGTAGCCCAAATCGAATAACATATCAAGATATTGAGAAGTAAACTTATCACTGTGATATTTGTAAAAATCAATGTTAATATCGCCTGCTATGTACACTTCATAACTGCAGTTGTTCAAATGATTTAATTTCTGCCTAAGAAGTTCGCAGAAATTTTCGGCAGTGCCGTGAGGATGTCTATAGATGGAACTAATAATAATACTCTTTTGCCTTTCCCTCGGTAGTTCAACAAAGCATGTTTCAAAACCGTCAGAAGAAAACTCTAGGTCCCGCCTGCGAAAAAAATTTAAATTTTGTTTTATGTAAATACCAGCTCCCCCAGCATTCGTTCTAGAATTCACACCAACAAAATTGTAACCAGGTATATTAATATTGTGAAGATGCTGATTATTGTCGTTTAGCTTAGTTTCAGAAATAGTTATAATGCTAGGCATTTCCTTCACGGTTATCTAAATATCATTAAGCAGACATAAATTCTTTCCTAAGCTCCGAATATTACAATTGAATATTGAGAAGCCTCTTGTGTTAAATTTTTGAAAGCATGTGCCAGATTGCTTGATTGTGTAGTATTTTGACTCTATCTTTAAATTTCCTAAGATATTCAAGAACTGATCGTTTTTGTCAGGGCTTTCAAGAACATTCTCAAATAAATCTCTTTCTTCAAGCGTAAGAACAGTATCGTACACCCATGATCCCACAGCTTTCGCGAATTCTTGCCTGTCTGTTAAGCCATAAAATGGCAGTTCCGATAAATAATTCACAGTCGTGTCAAGTGATTATAATTAAATAACTTGAACAGTTCCAACTGAATGACTTACCAGGATGGGTACTAGAAACAGCAACATTTGGGCATATGGACCTACTAAATAAAAGAAAAAAATAGACTTCACTTATCTATGAGGAAATTTACTTTTGAAGTCAGCGAACTCGTCTGCGTAGTTGAATGTGGACGTACGCTTTTCCCCGTCTCCTTGCTTGAGGTATATTCGCCCGTTGTTGGTCCAAATATATTTCCACTTGTTGTCCTTCTTAAACTTGTTAATGCTGCCAAACAATTTCTTTCTTGCTTGTGTTAGCGACTCGGAGTTATATAATTTCTTCTTTGGGTCTTGAGAAAGATCCCGTAGAGTGCCAACTTTACCAACTTCTTTGCCGGCGATTGTTTTCCTCTTTCCGTAAAACTCGTCCCGAATACTGCGACGCGTAAACTTGATGATAATCTTGTCTTCTGCACTTTTATTGTAAGTGGGTAAACGGTGGGCCGTGGAGATGTCTTCATCTTGCAGCTCGATACCCATTTCCTTCCCAATAGAACAAACAAGGTCAAAACAATATACTTCTTCGGTTGGTAAAATGCCTGTCAGCTCCAAGCAGTCGCGGCGCAAGTATTGAGAAAGGTCTTCAATTTCGTGCCCTATTTTAACAAGGCTGGTAAGTGCAAGATTGTAGATTTCGTAACTCCTAGGAATTCCTAGGAGTTATGAAATCAACAGGCTGAACTTAAGGCACACAATTGTCCGTAGGTATTTTTAAGCAAATGATTAATTTTCAACTGAGGAAAGCATGAAAATTACATTCAAACGCTCCATATCATAATCGTATTGTACTTGTTTGTATATGTGGAAAAAAGATAGAAAATAATGATCTTTAAATCTTTTCTTGGTTCACTGATTATGTGAAGCACACTGTTGTCGTCAAATATTTCAGCATTTTGTTTATGTTACTTTACATTCAATAAAAGCTGCAGCATTCTAGCTGTATGGTTTTGTAAAAAGCTGCTTTTTTACTTCAGGTTTGAAAAAGAAAATAATGGACTGGAAACTAAAATGCTTAATGTACTTGTAGTAGACGAGGCATTTGAACATACATTTTCATGATACAGTCTGGCAGAATCAGTATTTATGTAGGATTTCATTAACCATTTGCAACAATAACCACTTATATGTCTGCAGCAAACAAAAAGGAACCAATAGATGGTATTTCATTGCGTCTTGAAGTTCCCTATTCATCATTCAAAGTATGTGTTAAAAGTTCTAATTAAAGGGCAAAACGAACCACAATCAGCAGGAACATAAAGTTACCTTCCACAATACAGCTAGCTTACCTTCCTCGGACGTGACTGAAAGCACGCTTCGTGTGTCAACAACAAAATAAATGAAAAATCCACCTTTAATATAACATAAACTTCTGGGAGAAAAGTTCTTGTGCTGTTGTTAAGGGAAGTTCCACGTGAATTTGAACTGATCAAACGGAACTTCATTTCATACTTTTCCATTGGTTCAAAAGGCACATGTGATGGAAGACCGGTAACTGGTAAGCTCAACAGGCGGGTAATCCGCTCAGGGATTCAGTTTAGTGGTTAAAAAAAAAACAATTGTTTTTAAAGCTGAATAAACTATTCTAGTGCTTTTGACGTGTTGGTAGCGAGAGGAAACATTTGCATTGTTTATTTTTTCACAAAAACCATGACCTTTCTTATAAAGCTGTGATGAAAAACGTGTTGTGGACATTTTTGGAAGGCTCAGGTGCAAGACCACACTTTGAATATCAAACTTAGACCAGTTCCTCACTACAGCTATGGGTCAAAAGCTTTACTCCAGTAAAAAAATTCACTCAATATCTCAAAATTGATGTGATCGCTGAGAAATGTTTAGACTTCAGTTTTTGTAGTCAACTAATCGGTTATTGCTGGACCTGATGTTTGAACAGTCCCAGCTATGGTGGATTCTCCTTCAGATTTACTCATGCTCACCTGTTCTTTTAGTGAACTGTTTTGTTGTTGGTGTTCAAGTTGAATTTTCTTCTTTTGTTTCTGAAACTGCAACTGCTCGGCTTGTGCCTTAGCTGTTGCTTCTTACCCGTGGTTCACGTTTTGTTCGATTAGCATTTTCTCATACTCCATGGCTTTGGTATGGGCTCATAATGTGGCACGTCTTGTGCAGCAGCAATTGTGCCCTTAAGGTTTTGGCAATCTTCTGTGTGCATTTGACTGCTTGAGCGAGCAATGCTTCGGCTTTTGCGCGTCATAAAGAATCCCTTTATGTGTGATGGTATCACTCAATGTCCCGTTGAACATGCCCGGATTTGGAAATGAAAAACACATTATCTTGGATTCTAATTTATTTGTTGGTTACTTGACCCAAAAAAAACCTCTCCAGAGTAGAATTTTTTCTGTTAGGATATATAAGGCCGCACTTACACAGTTCACTTATCCATAAATACGATCCTGTCAATACGCCTTATTCCAGAATGTTTCAATTATGTCACGACATTGTGTTCTCAGCTTGTGCTAACTACAACGTTTTTGTTTCACTAATAGAGCCCTTGACAGATTCAATAACACTATTTGACAATATAACAATATTATAAGATGAATGTAATTATTTTTGCCCCATTGTAATTTTATTATTGTATATTTGTTATTATTGTATATTACGACAGAATAGCCCCGTATAGAGGAGTCGTAATAAAGTGTATGTTATGTTATCTTTGACAATGCAATAAGAATCAAATAGTACTCATCCTGCATGTGATTCACGAGAGCAATGAACATCCTGGTTGTTTTATGGCATCATGTATTGCTGTCATTTCAATTTCCCTTTTGCTATGTTCTTTCTTTAACTTAACTTCTTTAACTCTCCCGCATTGTTTTCTTCTTGACTTTTTGCTTCCTTTCTTATTAGCAATTGATGTCTAGTCAAATTGGGGTCCCTAGCATTGATTATCGACCAATATTTGGACATAAAACCCTGTTCTACTCTTTATAGGAAAATTGGGAAATAAATGACGTTAAGTCAAATAT